ATCAGTTTAACTAACAAAGCATTCCCTCCTTTATTTTCTACTATTCAATATTTCACAGCTTTATGATGGGATTCACCATCTCGCTGGACCAGCGTGGCTGGCGGGCTGAGCTTGGCTGATGGTGAGCATCATCAAAGCGTTGTAAGAAAAACATCTGCCACCTGCTGACAAGAGGCCTGACTCTACCAGCCTGTAGACCACAACCTCTTTGTAGGTTTGTGCTCTTTATTCAGGATGTGGATGTGGCTTACTGTAGTTGAGAGGTCACTGGTCTGCATGTCTTGCCACTGATTGTTCTGAATGCTGGCTCCTGTGAATTGGCAATGACAGGCAGCAGAGTTCAGAAAGCTCTTTGACAGATGTGGTTGTTGCTGAGAGAAGATCTGTCCGCACCTTTAACACCGAGTCAGATGGTAGGAGAGCATGCTCCTCCAGCCTCATGAAGAGTTGCACAAGATTCCTTTGACAATAGGAATATCGGAAGTTTAATAGAACAGCTGAAATTCTGAGTGATATTCATCTTGTGAACAAATGCATGTGCCACGTGCAGATATTGACTATGCTGATTGTAACTAGAATTTGTTCTGACTTTAAGTACCTTTACTGCTGTCCATGATAGATGTAAACCTGCGATTTGCCACACCTCTCCTTCCGGTAGCCGATCCTGGGGAGTAACAACTTCTTTTCTCTTGACGCAGAGGAAAACCGGCATCTGAAGGCACTGGTTTCAGGTTCTTGTTTCAAGGCGCTTGATGCTGCATGTGAGGGATTTCTTGGTTTCTTTCCACTGCCCAAGTTTTAGACCTTGACTGATAAACCTCTTAAGTTCTGCACTAAGGAAACAATCTGAAGAAAGTCCATGTTTCACAATCATACAATAAAATGCTTCTCCAAATCCAGCCTTTTTACTTTGTGATTTGTAGATGTTGATCGCTTCTGTTGCCTGTTGTTTTGTGGTGCTCTCCTCGGCCTTTGCATCTGTTTAGGGTTCCACTCTGCTCATCAGAGTGCTACCTGTAGACGCTGCTGTAGGCTGCACCTTCTGCCTCAGTCTCTGACTAGCAAGTGATAAATGTGAGCCTTCTACTGCCTGACAGATAAATTATGTTAATATAGTGGTAAAGTGGTTATTAATATTACTGGACACTAAGAAGTCAAGAAGATAATTGGGTTGTAATTCTGCTGCTGCCTCTGCGTGATGGCATCTTATGTCAAAGAGGAGAGAAATAGCGTTTGGGATTCCTAAAGCAGTTGAAGGAATGTTGTTTGTACTGGTTTTGTGCATCTGAGTCTGCGCAAGCTCAGTTGTGGCCCTGTGTTCTTTGTTTTTAAAGGATCCTAAACTAAGCACTACTAGAAATTCCACATCCGTTTTTATATCACTTCTGTAATTGTATGAAAGTTGTGGAGTAATGGTCTATACACATTCATGAGGGCTCATGGGCTGTCCTAGTTTATTCCTGTTCTGTCTTTAATTAAAAAAATAAATGTAAGATAATACTATATAGGAAAAGGACTTGGCATTCATAAATCAAGGTCTCTCACCGCTGGAAAAAGCTGTGCAACGTTGATATGTACTGTAGCATTCCTATATTCTGTACATCAAAACCCACATTTTTTTGGTATACTGTAATTTAGGAAAAGAATCTCTACATAACTTAAAATTCCTTTCAAATTGAGGAATAACATTAATTTTTATTTTTTTCTAAGTCAAGGAAACATTTACATTTTTTTAAAAAAATGCATCTTATCTGTTGAGTGATTGCAACAAATAATGATCATGGAGATGGGTGGATGCATGCAATCGGAAAGGCATTCTACAGTCAAGGTTGGATGATGTGATCGTTTCACTTAATTTCTGCTTTTTGGTTTTGTTCATATTCTTCCTCTTATGCTTTGAATTTGTGATGTGTTTTTTATAGTCAAACAAAAAGAGGAAACTTTTTGTTTTCAGTGCTGACTTAAGCTCGTGGTTATTCAAACTACAGTACATGTTTATTTTAATGTTGATGTATTTCTGGGGGTGAGGAGAGGAGAGAAAGGAGCTTAGGATAATTCTGTTCGCAGACTTTGAAATGAAATTAGTTTGTCTGCCTTGGCATATTCTTTTTGCCTTTCTGTAAGACAGATAAATGCTAGTCTTTCTGTGAAAGAAGATACTATATATGGATATATGTGGCTGTAAACAGAATGGATGCATTATGTCCATAATATGCTATGAGATTTCCCTTGTAGTACAGCCTTAGCATTCATAAACATTTGTCTGCTTTTTAGACTTTGTTGATACTTATGTTCAAATTCTTATGGAGTAGAAATAAATATTTCTATACTTGTGTTTGGTTTTTTCCTGTTTATTTCTCTGCTGACCGTTTTCTTGGAAACTTGAAGCAATAGAGCACAATGACTGTGTCTTTGGCAAAGAGGATCTGGATGCAAATCGCTGAACTTGCAGATACTGAGTTAAGGCAAAAGGTTGTTTCTGTAATATCAGTTTTTCCTTCCTAGCATAGACCATGAGAACTACGTGGGGGTTTTGGTGATCTTCTCCAAATGATTTGGATTTCTTGACTTCTAATAACAATAGTTTTTCAAATACTTTCTAAAGAGAATGTTTTTGATGGTTTTCAAAATCATGGCATAGGTCTGCAGAGTGTTAGGGATGCTGTAGCTTTTGTGGTGGGGGTGTGGACTACAACTACTGCTATACTACTTGGACTGCAATTACAGTTTATTGAACGTTTTCAAATCTGGCCTCAGTATAGATGATCCAACAAGATTCGTGAATGCCAGCAGGTTTTCTTGTGTCATATTAAACGTAAGTAGTTATGCAGCAAAATGCAAATTCAGAAATAATGGGGGGGGGGGGGTCATCCAACAAGGCAGGACATTATTTGTCTGAATGCCTTGCATATTTTTTTGAAGTAACTGAGGGCTCTTTCTTGTTTATGATGATGAGATGGAACAGTTCAGGTAGCGTACTGTTTTCAAGCAAATTCTAATTTGAATTAATTAAAAAAAATTTTTTTACATGCTTAATCTACTTAAGTGTTGTAAAACAAATTACTGTGTGTCTAATGGATATGTAATATTTAATTAGTAAGGATTACAGTGTTTGCCAAACCTGATTTGCATAGATACCATTTCAGTGCTGTGAGTGCGAAGTGGCTGTACGTGGTCACTTTTGCTCTGAGCTTCTTGAATCAGGAGTAGAGGGAACTCAAGACAGAACATGTCCAAGCTTGGTGCAGTGTGAGCATGGCTGAGCATGACCATGGTGCAGAGTCAGCAGCAGCCGCGGGCCAGCAGCTTGCTCTCTGGGCAAGAGATGTGGCATGGCGTGGGGACAGGGGCTTGCATGAGGAGGAGGTGGTAACCTGTGAGTAGAGTATGGGTAGGCTGTGCCCTGTTTTGACTTTACGTGGTGGCAAGCTCTTCACAAGAAGAAACTTTTGGGTGTTTACTTGTGGTATTTGCATATAGGCAATGGTTTTCAGTTTATTCTGAAGTAGTCTCAGTTCTAGGGCTGGTGCTTGTGTCACCATTGACCATCACACAAATCTTCTCAGTGCTGCTCTGAGTGGCAAATGTGTTGTTATATTTCTGTAACGCATAGATTGCATTGCATTGCAGATGACACCAAGCTGGGCCGGAGTGTTGATCTGCTGGAGGGTAGGAAGGCTCTGCAGAGGGGTCTGAACAGGCTGGATCAATGGGCTGAGGCCAACTGTATGAGGTTCAACTAGGCCAGGTGCTGGGTCTTGCACTTCAGTCACAACAACCCCATACAACGCTACAGGCTTGGGGAGGAGTGGCTGGAAAGCTGTCCGGAAAGAAAAGGACCTGGGGGTGTTGGTCAACAGCTGGCTGAACATGAGCCAGCAGTGTGCCCAGGTGGCCAAGAAGGCCAACAGCATCCTGGCTTGTGTCAGGAATAGTGTGACCAGCAGGAGTAGGGAGGTGACCGTGCCCCTGTACTTGGCATTGGTGAGGCCACACCTGGAGTAGTGTGTTCAGTTTTGGGCCCCTCACTACAAGAAAAACACTGAGTTGCTGGAGCGTGCCCAGAGAAGGGCAACGAGGCTGGTGAGGGGTCTAGAGCACAAGGCTTATGAGGAGAGGCTGAGGAAGCTGGGGCTGTTGAGTCTGGAGAAGAGGCTGAGGGGGGACCTTATTGCTCTCTACAACTACCTTGAAAGGAGGTTGTAGTGAGGTGGGTGTTGGTCTCGTCTCCCAAGTAACTAGCGATAGGATGAGAGGCAATGGCCTCAAGTTGTGTCAAAGGAGGTTTAGATTGGGTATTAGGAAAAATTTCTTTTACTGAAAGAGTGGTCAGGCATTGGAACAGGCTGCCCGGGGAGGTGGTTGAGTCCCCATCCCTGGAGGTGTTCAGAAAACGTGTAGATGTGGCACTTCGGGACATGGTTTAGCAGGCATGGTGGTGTTGGGTGGATGGTTGGACTAGATGATCTTAGAGGTCTTTTCCAGCCTATGATTCTATGATTCTTTCAGTTCCACTGAATGCAGTTTGTGCAGGGTCCTGAAGGCCAAAATGCTTAAATCTTTTTCTTTCCAAAGCATAATTTGCTTTGTTATGTTGCCAGATAACAACTTGCATCTGAAAGTTGCTAGGACTTTGAAGCAAACAGATAGAGGTGACTTTTATCGCGTAGCTTTAGGAAATCAAAGACTGCTTAGATACAGCAGTGATACATACTTATGTCACATACGGAAGGGTTGAAAGTTGAATAGCATTTGTAGTGGATTTGATGAAATTACATGAATGGTTTTTCAGCGCGCTTGTTTCATGGAGTAACAAATGAAAGCAATACATCAGAAATCCATCTTTAATCTTCTTCCTTTCACTGTAAGTGTTAAGAACTAGGTATTCAGGACAATTGTCATTAATGTTATTGGCTAGAATATCTATCGCGGTTTTTTACTGTTAGCTCATTACAAAAGTGCTTATTTGGCTGTAATTACAATGTTGTGCTTTTCTTTTTCCCTAGGTGGCTCTTTTTAATGCAGTAGTGCCATTAGCTGGCTGAAGACTAAACATGAGAATAGCAGGTAAGAGTGCTCAGTAAAATCAGACTTTTGTCACTTGTTAATGTTCTTGATAGCATTTGTTTCACAAGTTGTGACAATGTTTTAAAACAGACTTAAATGGCATAACAGACATTGTTGTTCCATTTAATTGATGTTTAATGAAACTAATTTTGGAATTTGGGATGGTGTAAGAGCAAGCAGCTGGTTAAAACGCTTCAGCTGATCAGCAGTCACTGGTTAAGGTGCTATGACTTGACATACTTTGGTTGCTAATTCCGTAAGATGATGAAGGAATAAGGAAATGGCTAATTAATGTCTTAAGTGATTTCTTCCCTGCCTCACAACCCAACCAAAAGTGCTATGCACTATTAATATAGCATCAGAAACTTCCTGAGTGGTTACTGGAAGTTTGAAAGCTGTAAAAGCTTTTTCATAGAGGTAAGTTACTGTAGTACAGGGTTTGAGAAACTGATTTTGCTTTGCAGAAGGTGTAGTGGTTGTAAAAATAAGATCTTTGCCAATGTAACACTTCAAGAAAATTCTATTTTAGACATTTCCTTGCGGTAGAATAGCCTGTGTGGCAGTTGAACAGGTTTGAGTTTCTGATGCGTTGCACTTTCATCAGTAGTTGTAGCGTTATGTTGCAGAAGGAGCAAGTGTTGGCTCTTCTAGGAGACAATGACACCCCCTTTTCCAAGAAGGTTAGTCACACATTAACCTTCTTAATGCATGAAATTAATCCTGACTTTTGCCACTGATGCTAAAGTTGTTTTATTAACCTCAATATGTATAACCGGGAGCAACCTGCTAAAGTAAATCTGATAAAGAACTGGAAAATGCTGCAATTTTTAGAAGATGGCTGAATCGCTTGGAAAATGACTTTTCCAGACCTCTTTTTTTCTTCCATCTAACTACTTTTGTTGCTAAAACCCTGAGACAAAGAAGATACGGCAGTTCCTGTAGAATGTTTAACCTGTAGCAAGCAGGCTGGTTTTGGTTCAAGTTCTAGAAGGTTTTTCTGGGGGATTTCTTACCTCCCCCTTACAGGGAGTGCTCACGGTTCAGTTGAAGGGCTCAGGATGTAGAGTGGAGGGGATGATTAGTGCTCAGATGGAGTTCTCGTTTATCTCGCCCACTGTCTACTGAAACAACATGCTCTCCAAGTGCCACTTGCCAGATGACACATTCCAAAATCTGGTACCATCTTGTCTTTTTTAGCAGTGTTGCTTTGAAAACCTTCTCTCCACTTCTTAACATATGTTCGGCTCATCTGTTTTCTCTCATGCTTACATGTGGTTTGCTTCCCTTCAAGTGCAATGATCTTTGGAGTTCCAGCATAGTATTTTTAAATTCAGTTTGCATCTGTGTTTTCTTACACAGTATGTATGTGGTTACATGCATGAAAAGGGAGAGTGGGAGAGGAAGACCGAACTACAAGCAAACAAAAAAGTTGTATCTCTTTCTTCATCTTTCATTTCTTTTTTCTATCCCCTTATCTTTTTTTTAGCCTTTTGGAATGACTGATTAGCATCTCTTATCCTCCTAAGGGCTGAGTAATCTGTCTATTTGAAGGCTTTCTGAACAGCCCATCACAGCAGCAGTCTGAGATCTGCAGGAGTACATAAGTGTGTTTTTTTTTCTGAAGGATACATTTGGCTGGCAATCTGAGAAACAGAAGTGTGCCGCAAGGTTGCTTCTTCCAAAGAGTTTGATGTACTGGTGTGTGACGGGGAGGCAGGATGTTGATCAGATGCCTCCTTGCCTAACTTCTACTCTCAATCAGTTAGTGTTTTATGATAAGTTAAGAGTGGAGTAGTCTGTAAAAATCTGTTGAAAATTGTGCTAAAAAATGGCGGGGTTTGTGGCAGTACCACATACACCCGAGCTTCCATTTCTGATGTACATTGCCGTGGTGGTGTGCTTCCAGCTCTTCTCCCAGGAGGCAGCTGGACTGCTCAGCACTGGAGAAAGTTAGGCTTGTAAAACTTCAAGCTACCTGAGACTTCAACCTATTAAAAGGGGGAGGGGAGAGGTACTGCTTTTTGTTGCATTTTAAATTGGCTCTTTTGAGTCTTCAGACTGGATTTTTGAAGGTCAATAATTGAAATTTGTTGAAAAGGAGCTGAGGAGGCTTTTTGGTTGTTGAATGGTTGATTTTTTTCATTTCTTTTTAATGTAATGCTCAGACCTGAGTAACCAAAGCATCCAAGCTACAGTATATGAACAGATCAGCTAATCACTCAGTCTTGGCCATACATTAGAACAGAGGTAGGTCAGTTTGAGGGGGGGTGAAAAAAAGGAGTACTGGTGAACATATGAGGAAACAGGTACGCGGGGCTAAGAACAGGGAAGCGGTTGTGGTGGGAGGTGGGAATTTCCCCTTTGAACAGCAGCCAGTTAGATCAGTTTAATTCATGTTGTTAAGCTGGATTTCCATGGCAAAGTCTGTGGTTTCTCCTGGCTGCTGCGCTGAGTTGGTGTGCTGTGGTGTCAGATAAGCATTGAAGCCAGAGAAATCCGAGAGCAGGGTCTGTGTTCGGTGTGGTAACCTGCTGGACTGGCTCCGTCACATCCTACGTTATAACATCCGTTTCTTGAAGATTGCTTCTGTTTAGCAAACCCACAAATGATCATCCTGTTTCTGAGTTCCCTTTAATGTAATCTGGTATGCGTTTCTCATATAGTTAATATTGATAAACTTAATGTTATTGTTTGTAGATAATTTTTTGAAACTTTTCTCTGCTTCTGAATAGGTGCTGCAAAGTTGGTAGTAGTCGTAGCAATATTTTTATTGACATTTTATGTCATATCTCAAGTGTTTGAAATAAAAATGGATGCAAATTTAGGACACATATTTGGTAAGTGATTATTTTTATTTTCTATTAATATTTACTTGAGCCATCATCAAGAATATCGTATTCATTTTGCTTTAAGCTTGACTTAGGCTCTTACACATAAGAATTCTGTGTTTATTTTTAATCTGTGTGTAGTTGTTGTTGGTTTTTTATATATATTATACATATACGTAATGTGCACATTTAGTTATTTTCTGTATGAAATATTTAATTTACTCTCTTAATCAGTTTGATTCTTTTGCCTGGCAAGTATGCATAGTTTTACCTGCTTTTTCTGTTTACAGGTACTTACAGTTGTAGTCTGGAGTAGCAAACTAGGCAACTTGAATGATGTTTATGGAAATCTACACTCTGCCTTGCTGCTGCTTAAGCAATTCAAAATTTGTGTTTTGGATGGGCTTTTTTGGCTTGCACAGATAGACTGCCATGTACAGCTGAACGTGCAGTAATTAAAACATTTCAGATGTGCCCAGGTTCTACACAGAATAGGATTAGCAGCTGAGGTGACTTAAAATTCAGAGTCTGTGTTTTGAACTAACTTTATCTTGAAAAGGGCTTTTCATTACAGAAAAAAAAACCAAGACAGTTTTAGGTATGTGGGTGGGGTTAGCGTTATTTAACTCCAGATTACTACAGTGTGAGCCAGTCACCAGAGGCATCTTTAGTGATTGTTGAAAAGACACAGGTGGCATTAACTATTACAGATCTGTTGTAGATATGTGCCTGATGAGGTCACTTGTGTCTCTTCCTGTACCGAGAAAGGGAGTCGTGAATGGTTGGATTCAAATGCAGCCGAGCTGCAGGTTTCCAGTGTTAGGTGAAAGGAATCCCATCCTGGTGAAGGTCTAAGAAGGGAATTCATTTCACTTTAGTGCCCACACCTCCAGAGACCCTTAGTGGTTTTGTATCTCTGTGGATCTTTGTGTTAATTGGAGAGTCATAAATTAAGGCAGTGCTTCTAAATGTGGTCCCTGATCGCTTTTGTAAAGGTTAATGCTTTATATTGCAACATAATGTTCAGATGGATTTGATGCTTCATTTCAACCAACCTGTTTTTATAGGATTACAGAAAGGTTTTAAACTTACAGGATATTTTATAGCCAACGACATTTTAATAGTAACATTTTTGTAAAACTTTCTTTTTGCATTTTAGCTAGATCAGCACTGGATGCAGCTGCACGCTGTGAGTGTTCATATGCATGTGTTACTGCTGTGGCTTCCTTTTGCTAATAACAGAAAGACTGTTGAATTTTCGTAGTTAAAAAATTCTTAATTGCAGTTTAAATGCAATCAGAAACTAATTTTCCTCCTTTCTTGATTTTCCTAAATTTCTGGTGTAGTCTGTTTTTTGCCAGCATTTCACTTGTTGTTTTGTCTTGTGGCTTTTGATGGCAGTGCCAGAGCAAGTAGCAGGGTGAGAGCAAGAAGTAGAATAATGAGGTACTGCAGGAACCTAGATTATTTTAAGCTGCTATGAAACTGCAGATGAGATACCATTTGTCTTTGCTCTTTTCCGTGAATTTCTGCAGAAAACTGAGATTTCTCTGTTAGCCTGCTTGTGGTGGTGTCTCTAAAATCCTGTTTTATTTCCTTTTGAAAGCTACAAAACCTCCAAGATACAAATGTGGGATCTCTAAAGCTTGTCCTGAAAAGCATTTTGCGTTCAAAATGGCAAGTGGAGCAGCGAATGTAGTTGGACCTAAAATTTGTGTAGAAGATAACGTGTAAGTATTTTTACCTGTTGTCTCTGTCTCTTTCAAATGCTGTCTTGGATCACTCTGCACACAGAATCGGTAGTTTAAATGATTCTTCATAGGTTTTGTTTTGCCAATGGTTTGAAAATGTGAAGAAATTATATTGCGTTATAACTTAATCTCTGATGAAGCACACAATACTCTGCAGTAAATGCAGAAATGTACACTTAATACATGAAAGATAGCTTAACCTTTATTTCAGGTTTACAGACTGAAGGATTAGTTTGGTAGTTTTAAGCATTTGACATAGTTTTTAAGCATTAGTTTGTCAAGTCAGATGCAAACTTGCCTCCGAGTAACTTGTTCTTGTGCCTCTAATAGTAATTCAGTGCGCAACTGTATTTTTAAGTAATTACTCTCGATGTTTCTAGTCAAATGTCATCAGCGAGAACTGTGCTCTAGAACTGTCTTTTTCAAGTCATCTTTTAAACTACCATAGTACCAATACCCGAACATATTTTCCTCTTCTTTAAAGATTACTTCAAAAGAGAAAAATAGTATTTTAATGATCAGTAGTTGTTTAATTCTGCTCATGGTAACTAAAGTTAATAAACTTAAAGTAATTGTGAAATGAGGAAAGGAACTGCTTGAATCACAGTTTGAGTTTAAGTCCTATGTTTCTAATAACTGTGTTTTTCACACAGGATTATCAGCAATCCTATGCCTATACTATTTAACTGAATACCTTTCAGTAATCCCCATAATGGAACTATTAATATTTATTTTTAGACTCTTTGTTTCTTTGCACTTAGGTTGTCCTGCTCGTTGCCACCCAGAGCGTGCAGCTTCGTGTAACGTGATCTGTCCACTCAATTTTGCATGTCACATGTCAGAAAAGACACAATGTTAGTGTTGTCGGAAGGAGATCTTTGAAGTATCAGTCACACTTTACAAGCCTTTGCCTTCCATTTGCATTTAGACTATTACAGTTTAACTGTTTCCCAGCCCACGCTGTGTTAGCACAGAGTGGTTCGGATAGCATGTACAGCACTCAGTGCTAATTAATTCTAGAGCAAATGGCAACTGTACTGTGAACAAAGTAACCCCATGTAGTAAGTATTGGTTTACGTTTTCCATCACTTCACTGTCTAAAATAACACTGTAAGATTAGTCTTACAGACTAGAAAGATGATGTAAGATGATCTTGCAGAAGACTGGTGTTAGCATTGACTCTAGCAATTAAGAGGTAGTGAATTGAAATGGGAGCTTTTTTCCCTGACAGCTAAGCATGTGCAGCATCTTTGCTTTGCATTGTTGGTAGAAACACGAGCACGACACAAATTTCAAGCCATTCTTCCCTGAGGCTGCCTTAGCTCAAGCTTGCTCACTTGTGTAGGAGCGCGTTTGCAACTGAGCATCACGGTGTAGTCGGGGAGCACGTGCAATACAAGCATGAGCTCACTGTTGGCACGCACTAACCCAGAGGTGCTAGGTTCTGCTTTCCATTCTTATTGTTGATTTGCCTTGTGGCCTTAGACAGTCTTATCTAATCTCTCTACATGGTAGTTTTGTCGGTGTTACAAAACTTGCCAGCTTCTCCTTGTGGTTGCTAGGAAGCTTAAGAAGTGTGATTCAGTGATTAAAAGTTGTGGGAGTGCAAGTAATACTTTAACTTCAGGATTGTAGAGTTTGATATTTTTTGTGAAATGTCTCGCTTACTGCTTAGCTGAAAACATTGTTGTTCCTGTCCAAAAAAAAAAATAAAAAAATCCTCTACTGAATATTTCACTGAAGAAAGTGATGAAAAGAAAGTAGTTGCTGACAAGAAATCTTATATTCTTTTAATACAATCTCTAATCTTTTAATAATAGTGCACACCTTAGTGCATACCCATTGGAGTCTTAAGTCCAGTTTCCCTTGGCAAAAATATTTCTGAATTCCTTCTGAGGAGAACTTGTAATGTCTGTTTAAAGGTCCACCAGAAAACTTGATGAATTTTATGTGATCTCCTGCTTTGCTCGTAAGACATTTGACTTACCTTTCAAAAGCTCCCGTAACTTGTTGATTGTAAATGGTCGGAAGAATTCTAAAACTGATGAACGGCTGCCCTCCTGTGAGAAGACTGTCACATTACAACCTGTAGTTGGTGCACAGGCTGTCTCAAGTGTGTAAAGTAGTGTCTCAGAGCTCTGAAAGAACTTCTTTTAGTATCTCTTTTTTTAGTGATGTTTTGTGAACTCACTCCTGCAAAATGCCTTTTTTCTGATTTGTCAGTGATATTTACACTGTAGGATTTCTGCTGTGTATTAAACATAAGGATATCACCTGGTTTATGAGAGCACTAAAGGTGCTCATATAATACAGAATGCATTTAATTTCTCAAATTTTCTTTTTAGTTGTATAGATATTTTGGTGTGAAATAGGAATTCTGCTGTGCAGCAGAACTCTTCAGTTATGGCCTTGTTCTCCTATATTGGAAGGACATAGTCCAAAGTAGAAAAAACATACTATATTCATCATCAAAATGTTAAATATTGTAGTTGCTACTTCATTGGCTTTTTAGAATAAGGGGAGATATCGCTATACTTCTTTACCAGCACCTTCTCCATGCAGTTTTACTTCTGTTAAGAAGGTAGTTGCGTGCTTGTGCTGCAGTAACCTTATGGCAGAATGTCATGCTACATTCCTTTAAGAACTAGTATTTCTTGTATCTTCAGGATTTTTTTGTTGTCTGAAATCCTTTATAACTTGTTATGTATGTGTGTATTTTCAGTGTCTAGTCACCCCACTATTGGATTTTTTTGACAGGCACTCATTTGCAGAGAGTTTTGTGGTTAAAATAAAAGGAAGTTCTTACTGGTAAATTAAATGTCCGCTAAATTTTATATGAAGAAAGGAATGTGTTCAGAGCTTTACAGGGTTTTTTTATTTATGTTTTCAGTCTTTATTTCCCTTGTTTCTGTTCCTTAGAATGGATGCTCAGGCATGACCTGAAAATCGTGTGATGAGGAAAGAAATGATCCTCCAGTGGCTAAAATACTTCTGGAGTTCCCTACTAACCAGGACTGAATTCTGTATTTCATCAGAAAATTGCAGATCTTCTGTTTCAGAAGTTACTGAAACAGGGTTTTAATTTTAATCCGAATTTTTGGCAGATGGTATAACTTAGAGGACTAACGAAGAATATGGAGTCTTTCATCTCTGATTACACGTTTTTTAAAACCTAAGCCGCTGTACCAAGAGTTACCATTAACCGGTAGTCTTTCATGGCCTCTCTGAACTAACTAATACTGAGTCTGTTCCTGATAGTTGTCTATCAAGTTTGGCATTCCTCTAAATTTTGGCTTCTGTCTTCATCCTGGGTGCAAATGATAGCATCGAAGAGGAGGATTTTTGTAGTATTTCTGTGATAGACCATTTCTTGTTTCTAGCATAGCACTAGTAAGCTAGCATCAGAAA